TTTGGCAACGCCTGAAGGCTCATACGGCGTTTTTCCTTTAGAAAATCACGAGTTTCCGGGAAAATTTGCAAATATTTTTCTTCAAATTTTTCAGGTAATTTTGTTCGCAATTCCACCTAAAGTTCCTGAAAATTGCAAGAGAAAATATCCATAGCTTTCCTCAAAAATGAACATATTATCGAAAGAAATTTGGCAACTCTCGAATGTTCATACGGCGTTTTTCCTTTAGCACGGCAGTATAGAGCAAAATTTTCACTGTGACAGAATCGGAAGTTCGGAAACAGTGGCGAGGCGTGAATGAACGATTATCGACATTTCTCCAATTGAAGCTACGGTAAAGAATCGATTATTAAGGTGTTCGCTGCGAACACTCTATTTATCGATCCTTTCCCGTAGGTTTAAATGGCAAATCAATCGATATATCGCAAAGCACGCCACGCCACTGATCGATACATCGCAAAGCACGCCACGCCACTGTTCGGAAAATATGCTAGGCGGCTGACGGACGTCTTGGAGAATAAAGATACCTGGACGGTAAATTAGATTGATTCCGCGTCCCCGGCTGGAAGTGCAGGTTAATAAGGGACTTCTGAGGCAATTAATTCCGTCACGTCATCCGGCCGATCCCTTTGTGTCAAAGAATGCGGCGCCGCGGCGGAGCGGAGGAGGGGGCGCGCTCGCGAAATCGTCCCCGACCGAACGGGACGGGAGCGGAGGCTTTGCCTGTCCCTGTCGCAGCATCCTTGTCAAAGGACATTAATACTGTATTTTCTCCGTGATTAAGTCTCGAAATATATTCGCCCCTCGAGGGTAAACTAATTATTCTTCTCATGGATCCTGCAGCCTTCCTGCCTCCGCGGCGTGTGGGTGGCGTGACGCACACGGGATCGAGTCGATACGAGAGGTCGGACAAAATTTTGAAACTTCAAACGCTTCTACTGCCGTGCTAAGGAAGAACGGTGTATAAAAATTCAAGAGTTGCCGAATTTTCGGTAACAAAACATGTATTTTTGACAACGTTCATGCACATTTTTCTCTGAAATTTTCAGATATTTTAGATTAAATTGCGTACAAAATGTTAAGAAAATTTTGGGGAAAAATACTCACAATTTTCTCATTAAATTCGGTTTTTATTGAAGGGAACTTGGCATCGTCTGAAGGCTCATACGGCGTTCTTCTTTGGCACGGTAGTTTAACTCCGTGTATACAAAACTTTGAAGTTCTAAAAGTGATTTCATTGGTTTCCTCGTAAACCTTTCTTCTTAAAACACCCCTTTAAATTTCAAATGTGACAAAATTAACTTGAAAATTTGCAGTTTTAGTCAAAAATTTCATGTCCGATCTCTACAGCTGACTCGACCCACTGTGTGGCGCGGCTGGGGGCGCCTCGCTCTCAAAACGCGCTGCGGTCCGCGCACTGTATGAAGCCGTAATCCACCGGTAGAGACGCGCACTTCCGCTCTAGGTCACATTTCGAGGGCTGAGGAACAATACTGCTTATAGGGACCGTCCACAAATTACGTAAGGAACTTTTTACGATTTTTAG